AATTATTGTATAATTTATTATATGAATTATCAAGGAGAAATGAGTTACTAGGACTGAGGTCCTAAATTGTCTCATACAAATCAGTGATAATTCGCAAGATAAATTATATACGTCTTTAGGGCATAAAGCGTCTCCTTATCAATACATACACAAATAAGTTTGAAATAAAATCCTACTTACAGCGTGACAGGTTCCTCAGGGCTCGAGGGTGAAATTGAGAGCGACATGGTGGCGGTTAGACATCGTGATGTACCTGGCGACCTGACTCGATCATCCACCTGAAATCAGGACACAAATAGTTAGTCAAAATCTAACATATAGTAACAAATTAAAAACTTGCAGAACAATTGAATTTGATATTTTATTTTTATTATTTTTACACGAGAAATTATTGCCATATAGTTCCGATTAGACAATTTCTTCTCAATTGTTTCTTCTACTAAATATTATAATAAGAATATTCTACTCTGAATATATTATTTGAAATTTTAAATTTCTCCAAAATATATAACAATTTCACAATTTAACAACTACTATTGGTACAAGGTACGAGTTTGAGTACATAGTAACATCTGCGTCTGATACTGACTTTGAAGTTGTTGACTTTGAAGAAGACCTGCTCCAAGGGATTATGTCCACGATGAAATTCAAGAATACAGAAGGAATACTCCACCGTGCACCTACCGAATTCTTTGCACGATCCTTGCTGTCGTCGATGGGGAATTGAGCAACAGGTAGACCAGATATGTCCTCGAGGTATCATGCTCGACAGAGCATACGCGTGATTTACTGTATAAGTGACTCATCGAACGCACCCTTTTTCCCTCTCTTTCTCTCGAAACGAAACGAAACGCGAAGGAAATAATTCTTTTACTTAGACCCTGTCCGGGGGAACGAAAACCGAGAATTTATACCCGAGGGTAAAGCTCATATTTCCTGATAAATTATTTCAATATCAATTCCGTAGAAACTTTATTTCATTATTATATAATTGTCCGTGAATTATGTGCACTATACTGTTGCTATCAATTTTACGCCAGTATAAAACATTTATTTATAACTATAAAATACATTCATTCACTTAATGACGTAATTATAAATTATGTATTTCTAATTTCGATTTCCTTCTAAAATTTAACTTCTAAAATTATAATATTTAACAAAAGAAATGTTAATATAAAAAAAATTTAATTTAAGCTAATTATTAATGTGAATGCGAGTATAAAACTATTCGCTGTCAATTAACAACAGATAATTGATTTTCATTTGATATTTGCATTTTGAATTTAATACCTTAAAGATTGCATTAGTTATAAAATGTCCAAATAAGGAGAAAAGAAAAGTTACTTTTAACCTTAAAAAGAATCAAGTACGAAAGTCGTGCATGGTTGACTTGTATTACTTGATATGTAAAGTACATGAAAGATTAATTATTGAAAGATTGATGCCAAAACAATCGTGGCATAAAGTTATCGAACTACTAGATGATAAATCCAAGTCCATTCCCAAGAGACAACAAATCTGATTTTTCATTCTCCCTGTGAATTCGAGCGAGAATTCCTTTTAATCGAGAAGCCAGAAGCGAAGCATAATCGCGATCGGCGCAAGCTGACAAATTCAGTCGAAATTGAGCAACTTCCGTCCCAGCCCCACACGCTCTCCAAAGAAATATTACGGCCATATTTTTCTCTGGTGAACGATGACTGAAGCTCTCCCGCGATTTCCAAGGGATTAATAATGGCAGTAGAGCGTTCTACGACAATCGTAGAGAGAAACAAACGCAGCCCCGGGCAAGTGGACCAGGCTCGCGCGCCGACATCAATCTGAACGAGCGAGCCGCGCCCCTAACGAGCCACCGAGTCATATAAATTTTATTGCCATTTCATAAATCCCGGCAACCACCGGCGAGTAACCGTTCCCGGTGCTGTCTGCCAGATTATCAGGAACGTATAAAGTTGCGATCGTTGCGCGGTTACTGTCTTTTGCGACGCTTCCGGCGTTCCACTGTGAAAACTCACGCGAAAATACGTTCGAATAATACGTCTGAGGTTTAACGGTGATCGGAGATATGGGCAAGATAAACGAAGACTCCTCGTGAGAAACATTCTGAGTGACAAACACTGAAGTTTCCAGTGTGACACTTGCCATGTGTTCCCTTCGGGAATACGTACTTGCGATATTTGCAAATTTGAACGACTAGAAGATTGAATTTTCTCTACAAATGTAATTTTCTTTTTCACGAACCACTACGTTATGATATAATAATTCCAAAAAAAAGAATAGAACATTTTACGATACATTCAGGTCATTAGACCCTTAATTGTAGGAATTTAGCAAAATTTATAGTTCTTAAATAGTCTAAACTTTCCTCCTGAAAAATTTGACGATCAACACTCTACTGGAAATTTACAGGAACAAGCCACGTTCAATATGTTAGTGGAATAAGTAAGTTCATAGTCAGACGCGCGAGCGGAAATTGAACAACTTGCCTAACGAATCTTAAAAATTTATCTCATCGAGACCGTAACAACCTTCATCTGAAAGCTTCGCTTTGTATTTGCAACGAACGAAAGCATCCGCTTTTTCATTACATCGCAAATTACTTGACGTACCTTCAAGATGTGTCTGAACCACGCGACGCCGCGTATTTCAATTTCAAAACGGTGGATGTGAATGTAAAGGGACGCGCACGCGAAGGAGCCAGGAGTATGGAAACGACAGGATTATATTTATAATAAATAAGAGAGGAGTACATACGCGGAGAGAAGAAGCGGGTGCACAGTTAATTCAGTTTTATACGACAACACTTCCGATCCACGGTAAGCCGGCGACAGTCTCCACGGTTCCTTCCCTCCGCGGTTCTCTTCATCTTAACGCAAAGACGAACCAAAACCTGATTTACATTTCTTTCTCTCCTCGCTATAAAAATTCCGCGACGATAACTTCCTTTGTTCCACCCTCTATGGCCGACGTTGGGACGAGCAACCCCTGCGGCTGAAAAGCCACGGGGAGTCCCCATAACACCGACTAGTTTTCGGTTTACATTACATTTTTTCCCCCCTTAATTAAAAGCGTTGAGGACTCTGGCCTTTTTCTTTTCGTTGCTGTTAAAAACTGTTCGTTACTTTGCACGGTTAATGAAATATTCGATCGCGCAGAATTTGTTTATGTCTGAGAATAATAATTAAAGATAATAATTGAGAGGAAGTCTGTCTTTCCTTCCACACTCTATATAGTGGAATAAAAGAAAGGACAGAGACGAATCTAGAATTTAAGATTATATTTGGTAAGAGTAATGAATGGTCTGTGGATTTTTATGCATAATTGGCAATATTATTACTAATATTTAATAGAGTGTATATTAAATCTCATAATTTTAACATTGAACTAATATTATTCGATTGGAGAATACAAGGATTTTAGATTAAAATTTTTTAATTTAATTTTATCTCATTGCTAATCTCCATCACCTAAATTTTATTTGTCCAATATAAACTACTATAGCTACCTACAATCCAAAGATATTGTTCGAGAACCTTCTTTTATATTTAATTAGATTCACAATTAAAAAGTACAGTTACATTACATTCACGTACCAACTACCCTTCTGAAAATCATCGATATATTCCGTTTGACATATTTCATCGCAAGCACTCGCTTCACTATCGAGTTTACATGACAACACTCGAAACTGTCGATTATTCTCATTCGGTTGGTGAAATTTCCTACCAAACGAGGAGTCAAACACAGAGCGAAAGAGACCGAAAGAGAGACAGAAAGAGAGAGAGAGAAACAGATAGGATCGAAATGTAATTAAGAGAGCAAATAATCCGAGCCGAACAAACTCCATGAAATGGATCAAAGAACTGGAAAGCGGGAGTGAGATGGTGGGGAAGGGGAGGGGGGAGAGGGAGAAGGAAGGATATGTACCGATAGAAGCGCGTCGTCGTGGTGAAAGGTAGCAGGACGACGCCACGAGGCTGGTTGCTTCTCCCTGTCGTCGTGCTGTCTAGCCCGAAGGAGTAGGGCAACGAGCAGGGGCCTCGGCAAAGACCCTCGATAAATATTTCCGTCAAGTGACCGGGGTTGGAATTCAAAGAGAGCCGAAAGGTGGAATCGAGAGCGAAACGAGTCCATCCTCTCTTCAGCGACCGGTTCAAGGGACGGTCGACGAGAGGAGAAACGATAGAAGGACAGAGTGGGACGGGAGGCTGGTCTGGCAAGCCAGTATATTTGCGTTACGTTACGTAGTTGCACGTTTAATCAGCCGTATGCCCGGAAAGGGCGCGTGTGACAGAAGGGAAGAAGGAAAAGAGGAACCGCCTCGACTTCCGGATACCAAAGAACGACGGGGCTTCAACAGCCTCGTGCCTTTTGTGCGGCCAAAGTGACTGGGACTCTGTTTACTACTGGATGCTGCTTCGTCGTCGTCGTCGTCGTCGTCGTCGTCGTCGTCTGCCGATTCCGGCAGTGGATCATTGTATCCCTCCTTCCGTTTCGCCCTGTATTTTATTTCAGTTTTACTTTACCTTGAATGTGACGCGCGCGTATGTGTGTGTGTACGGTGACATACGAAAAATCGATCGCTCGGACTTTAAACGAAATCATCTTTTAAAGAAGGAAGAATAAATCATATTTTGCATAAATTAATTACATCGAAACTGAATGCTGCGTGAAATGATTTTCAAGAGTTAGGACAAATTGCCTTCATTTGGCTCGTTCAGTAAAAGTAACGAATGAGTTCAGTTGATTCGATCAACTTTTTTTTCGAGTGGAAGTTTTATTTGAAACGGTGTTACTCTTTAATAGGAGAAAATATGAGAGGAAACGAGGTGAAGAGAAACGGAGGCGGTGGCGCCTACGAGACGTCGATGGCGTGACAGATTGCCTTCAGTATTTTCCACCACATACATCATCGGCATCCGCCAGCCCTTAGTTCTAGTTCAATGCTCACCGCCGTCGTCTCCTTTAATTGGCATCACCTACACCAATTTACCTGTGCCATCGTTCAGAAAATTCCCCACCACAGTTAGTTACGGTAGATTATATTTAGAGGAATTCTCCTGGTAAATGAGCGACGAAAAACCTCAGATAATACTGCTCATAATATACTGCTCTATATATTGTATAACTACTCGCAAAAGTATTCGATCATTCGTAGTGTAACTTCATGGTAACTTTCTATAAATATACGATATGTATCATAAAAAATATTCCGTAATTTCATTAACCTATCGTTAAACAAACTTAACGACGTATATTCTATATATCTTCTCTTTATCATTAATCGATTGTTACCAATTTATTCGATAAATTCCAATTCAACTTTTTATTTACATAATATGGTATATCACAATTAATACTCGCAGCAGCGCAGCCAATTTTCTCATCAGGCTAAGCAAGCGAGTAATATATCGATAGCAAAGCAAAGGGTCTGTGACAAACTGCAAACCGCACTTTCATCGTCAGGGATACGATTAGGGAAAAATTCGTGCTGTTTTAATGGGGAGTGAAAATTAAATACCGCGGTGTGTCCACCCCTTAGGTCCGGCCACCTAATAATTCATACGAGGAATGTAAAAAGGGCGAGCCCTTCCTCGTCCTGCGCTGCCAACTCGCCTCCGACCACGCGACGACGAAGAAGCGCGAGAACGAGAAAACCGAAAGAGAGGGGTTAGAAAAATACGAGCTCGTGTTTATCTTGAGATTTGTAGCCTCGCTGTTCCCGATATTTATTGGCCTTCCAAGGACTGGGAGATGCCACCGCCTGACGGACCGTTAAATTTTATTATGTTTTTTTCACCGATGCCGAAATAACGCGTCACTGAATATGGCTGGCAAATGGGGTCGTAAAGATAAATCCTGATCGCCCGTGGATCGTCGTTTCCGTCCGTGAAGAACGCGGCTCGTATCTACTTCAACATCTTTCAGCTTCTATCCTTCAAGGTACGCGCTAATCGTGTTTCAAACAGTACTGATACTGAAATTCTGCGCAAACTTTGAAGTTTGACGAAGTTTTAGAAATATGAAACTGTTGTTTCGAGAGAGACTGTACACTAAAACTAAAATGTACCAAAATTTGTATTGAATATACATTGCAGTTTTTTGACTGCATAATAGGATACTAAGGAAGGAATCTTTGATTATTATTTCAATTTTGCCTCGTTAAATTTTGGTTATGAAATTACCAAGCTTTCAACTATTATTATTGCATTAAATGTTTCATCCCGCGACAAAAACACAACAATCCAACACTAAATTTTCTACAAATTGTCCGAACTTCTTAAACTCAGCAGTCTGTTTTCCTAAGAATTCCACAGAACAAGATTCGAGACGAGCGTCGAAACGATAACACGCGCCTCACCGCGACGAATTCATAAAGAAGGATCTAGAGGATACGTAGTCCTCGCGCGAGGAAACACCGGCAACCTAACTGCCTACCGAGATCATATTTAGGATTAAGGAGACGGCGGTTGCAGCCTCTTCAGGACGATAGTTGCGAGCGCAGTGGAGAAACCCCGCTAAACCAAGCAGCCCATTATCTTAACAAATCTAATCTCGCGGTGGGTGTTTATAAATGTCTTGTTTTCCAGCGAAACGGCGTCGCGGATCGAGGCTGAAAGGGACAGAGCGTTTCTAACCGCATTTTACCTCAGCTCCCTCATTAACGTAAGATGGGCGGCGAGAAACGAGACACATACTCCTCGGTATATTTCGGTATATATTTCCTCGAGGGCAAGGAAGTTCTACGTTGATAAGATTTTTCGAAAATGTGTCGATGTAGAAATAAAATTGTCAAGTTTTTCATGTACGTGAAATAGTTGAATTATCTGGCATATTAGAATTCTTTTAGTGGATCTCAAGTACGGATATAATTCTACTGTAATTTTGGTAAAACTTTAGCAAGATAGGCCCAAAGCAAGACATCCAGTCAAGTTTTAAACACATGTAACTTCTTCACTTTTTATTCATTAGCTCAAAATCATTCTGTATGTTCTATCTCTATTTCTCAAGCACGTTCAAACACTCCATAACATGAACTTTAAACAAAATTTAAAACAAAAACAGTGCTAATAATCTCATTATACAAATAGCCATTAAATTGAAAGCTATAATATATACCTCCTAACAATAACTCAAGTAGAATCCTTAAAAAAATTATATTTCCTCTATCTACAACCAATTAGAATATCTCTAAAATACAATCACTACATCCAAAACTTTCATTGAAACTCTGATGAATCATCAGCCAAGGAATTTGACTAAATTCGAATCATGAGGATTTTAACATGGTCAAGATCGCGTACACGTGCAGATAAATGGCAGGAGACGATGAACATAACTATAGCATCTTGGCGAGGATGAGCCCGTATTATTACACGACAGAGGATATAGCTTGCCGCAAAACCAGAGGCCCTAATCCCTTAAGAACAATAATAAGAATCCTTTCTCTGTTACTCCTGGAATCAGTGTTAAAATTGCCGCGGCGTGTGGAGGACAAGGATGAGCAGAATGAGCCAGAACTTAATTCAAGGTCTCGTGGAAGGTTGCGCCGTAATCTCCTATTCGACTCCCCTTGAGATCCTTCTAGACCACCCGCTAAACCTTCGTTTACACTTTCTTTCAACCCTTCTTACATCGTACCTTACAAGGCCTTTTATATTTTAAACGTCGCCAGGGATTAACAAACGTCGGACGATCGCTCAGTTAAATAAGAAATAAATGATAACTTCGAGATAAAGTCGACTTTCGATGAAAGATTTCCAAGATATACACCTACGCTTTTTTCTTTTTTTTTTTTTCTACTGGAAACTTTTTCTTCAAGTTGTGAAACTATACAATTCTTTGATGAAGAAATTTCCAGATGAAAATATTTTCCATTTGATCAATTCCAAATTTTTAGAAATCTAAATTCTAAGAAACTGAATTTCATATTATATTTTTATAAAAAAAATTCTTAACAGAACTTCTTCGTGGAAAATTGAAATTTATTCGACGATACTAAATTAGGCATTATTTCTACAAGAATGTAAACCATTGAAATATTCCCATAATATTTATACTTCAGAATTAATTATTAATTGCACAACCGAGAACTTTGCTTTTTACATTATACACTATATTAATTTCAAAAGACAATTTATTCGAAATTCCTTGTTCCGAGTAATTTTTGCAGAATTTTCGCTAGCTTTCGCCAACTTCTTATCAATATTAACATCGAAAAAGGACTTAATCAGGCCCTCGGTTGGCAGGGAATCGCAGTTGCGACGAGAACTCTTTCGCTTTAAATTTTCATTCGGCTCTCGTACAAGGAGGTTACGTCGGGGACCTGTTCCATCCTTCAAGCCAGACTCCTCTCTTCTTCGTCCTCGTCTACGGGCGTAATTTGCACACAAAGTGCCGAGGAGGTGTACCGGTGCGGGCTGCCACGGTGTGCACGTTTATGTACATACAGACACGTGCACAACCTTTACGTATGGTGTATATTCAAAAACATTATGCTAACGTTCCTCTCTTCCACTCGATATGCTCGTTTTAATAGTTGTCACGTGTCCACGAACGATATTATATTTTCATGGAGACCCAACGATACATTTTCTGAATCTATACAGATTTTAATAAAAAAGTACTAGAAGCACTTTAGTATTTTTATTAATATTTAATACAAACGTTAATACAACTTAATATAAATATAGTAATATAATATAATTTTATATTGTAATATAATATTATGTTTCAATAAGTAGAATTAAGCATATATGTCAGCTACACCTATTCATCATCATTTCTAACAAAATGTAGCTTTACATTTAAATATTTCTGTCATCAAAATCATTTCTGTTTTTTTACTAAACCTTATATCTTTTTTTAAACTTAACTAAAAACTTACTTTTTTAATATCTAATCTAGCTTTTTAATACCTTAATTGATATCATGGAGTCTTAGTACAACTTAATACAACTTAAATTTGACAGAATTAGGATATTTAATTGTGCAATTGGTTCACAAAACGTTCTCAATTTGACATATAGCCTTAACGAGCTCCAGCACGTTTCGACGAACGAACAAGATAAAATTTCTTCCCAGCAGATAATAAGAAATCTGTCACGTAGCCGGTGGCTTCGTTGAGGACCAACCACTGAATCCGGAGGGTGGCAACGAAGAAGGAAAAGAATACTAATTCATTATTCAATCTGGGTCGAGTGATTAGCATGCGCCAGTACTCGGCATCTTCGTCCTCGGTTCCTTCTAAATAATGTAAGACGTATACCAGACCGTAAGAACGTGCTGGTACAGGCACGTCGTCGCCGAAGAATCTCTGCTTCCCTTCCTATAATTTCGTGCAGCCTCAAATTCGCATTTAAATAATTATGCGCGCCGCACTTACAATGGAGATAATATGAAATTTCCACGATAAAACACGTTGATTGAAATCATTTTCTATGAAACTGTATTGTCAATGTAGGAGAAAAAATATATAACATAGATAACAGATTCTATATTTTATTTTCATCAAATTCATATGCAAATTTAATGATTATGTGTAAACACATCAATACTACACTACTGGAAGTTACGCACATTTTACATAGATTCTCATACGATCTTATCTTTACTTTTGTATTCTTTTTTCATTATCAATGATTTAGGATTGGCCTAATTTTTACATGTATTTATATGTAGACTTCTCTGACCATCAGTACTTCGATCTTCAAATATTTTATTCGCCGGAACTCGCATCGCACTACAACCTCAGTCTGGCAATATAACATCAACAACATCTCTCTAAACTCATCGTCAAACTTCCCCATCGAGACAATAAAAACGAAGCTCAAAGGAACGTCGCGACAGAGCAACGTCTGGTCGTGTTAAATCAGCCCTCGTCAACGGGGGAGGGTAAAAATCTCGAGTCCCACCGCACTCGTCTCTTTCACCAGAGATAAAGCATTTTTAATACAATTAAACGTGAATCTCCGCGGTATCCGTTCTTCTTTCTTCTGCAAAGCATCCGTACCTTAACGTCACCCCGAGCCACGGTGGTCTCGGTTCGAGATCTGGATGTAAGAAGGGTTGTACTCAGCTTGCCTCCGGGGCATGTTAATGCACTCCGAGATCTTAGCACTTACACTCCGACACCGCCGCTGCCTGCTCGTCCTCGTCGTCCTTCTCCTGCCTGCTTTTCCATCCCCAGCCATTTTCTCTTTCTCTTAAACTACCTCCCTCTTCCCCTCCCACCCCCCCGACCAAGTCTACGCTGCCTCCAGAGGGCTTTCACGGACGACGCCTTAAATCCGGATCTCTGCCCTCCCCCCACCCACCGCCTGCTTCTTATTCAACCACCCTCCGTGCCAACTCCGAATCCGACGGCGTCGCTGCCGCGATTTTCTTCGCTGGAACGCCCAGGAAGCGGTTTTCAAAATGCGCGGTCTATGCGGCGAGGCACGATCCACCAGACAATCGTGATTTTCCACGGATGCCGTTTACCGGACAAAATCGGGAGTCTGTGGGAGTTCGATTGGACTGAGTTAATTTCAGAAATGGGAGATTTGGGACAGATCGTACTTTAATTTTTGGTTTTTGAATAGGCAACGGAAGTTACTAAGTTGAAGTTTCTTTGCTTTCTCCATTTTAGAGAACAGAATCAGAGAAACTCGCAAACTGTTGGGAAGAAGTTCTTCATTTAGTTTCGATTCTAATCCTAAACTTCCTGAACAAATCCCTCGCCTGAAACTCTTCGAACTACAATTAACGCTGGCATGAA